CTTTTAAGAAATTGAAAATTACAAATAAGTTGTAATAAAATATGGAGACTTTTTTTGTATCTAAAAAGAGTACTGGGTTCAAATTCAATTCTCATGTATAATATTAATGTTTTTTTCCCCTAACAACTCTTCAAATCTTTATATAAAATGGAGTAAGTTATTTCACAAAATTTATGAAGCGATTATTTTGCGACAATAAATACCTGTATCTAGATATTGCTAAGTAATGGTGGTGGAGATATGGATTGAGCAAAATGAATATAAGGTTGAGCTTGAATTCATTTCATTTAATTACGAATAATTACCTGCATCTAGATATTGCTAATAATAATTACCCTAACCTTGTATTATATTAAGTACAAAAAATTTCTAAACTACATTTTACATTAAGGCTTAGCAGAAGTACCCCATTCAATCCATAATACTCCATATGTCTCAATTTGCGGGATATTTTTAAACCAAATTACGCATATCAATAAAATTCATTCAATAAAGTTTATAATTTTATTTTTTAAAATAAAAATATAAATTTTTAAAAATATCTATAATTTAATACTCCATTTATAAAAAAAAATATCGAAGAGAGAAAATATAACGAAATGATAATATTGAAAAGGTATAATTAATAAAATCTTATTTTTGTTAACATATTTATATTTTAAGACCCCAAATCTCTTTTAAAAGAGTTTTATAAATTGAGATGTTAGGAGGGTAAGGTATTGGTGACTACTTTTATTGTTATTAAAAAAAGTTAGTTGAAATCTTAATCTCATAAAAAGTTTTACATTATTTTAATTATATCCTCATTAAATATTCTATAAATGTCTCAATAATGACAATTGAATTTTTAATGGGCATTTTTTAAAAGAAATAATATATAAATTGGGTTATAGTTAAAAAAATAATTATAAAAACTATCAAATACATTATATTTTGGATCAAATAAAATTTTTAGAAAAAGTGCTACTGTGGACCGGGGAAGTATAAGTTTTTAATGTTTTAGCAAATATATTCAGTAATAAAATATTGAGAAGTATACTGTCAAACTTGCCCTTAACTAATGTGTTGAACAAATTAAAGTTAATAAAAATATTTATAAATGCCACTTTAATGTTTTAAAAAGACATAAAATATTTTTTTTAAATACTTTTGTTTTGAAATAAAGGAGTGTATATTCATTTATTTGGCGAGAAGTAACAAAAGGATCTCATTGCCTTTGAAGTTAAATGGAAGTAATATGTGAAAAGAAGTGGGGGCTATTAATTTGGTGCAAGTGGAAAAACTTGCATTTTATTGCATTATTGAGAGTGATTGGTGGTTGTGGTTAACCTGTTGATTAGTTAGCCCAAATTACAAGTTTAACCCTCAAGGTTGTCACTATCATGGCCACGTCCTCAAGGGATGATTTTCTGTACTATGATTTGATGAAACCTGCTTATCCCTCTTCACAAGTTGAAATATTAAATTTCCAAATAATGGAGGCAAGCATATATGTTGAAGTGAGACGTTTAAATAAACTATTCCTAAATCCTAATTATTGACTAAGAATAATAAAATCATTAACCCTTTGGGAACTCCTTCAATACCGCAATGCAAAAATATGCTTTGCGTCTAAATTGCGTATTCATTTTCAGCCTTTCCTCTAAATGGATCATTGGCCAATCTATGTTGACTTTTAATGTTAATTAATTACGAGTAATTATTAAATTTTCTTACTTTATTCTATTCTCCCCACTCTTGCAACCTTTTTCTTTTTCCCCAATTAGGCGTAAAAAGATCCATAGAAATTGATGCCTAACAGCTTATTTGACTTTTCTGAATTTAAAGTGCTAAGTTTGTCGAATCAAATATCTAATTTAATCAATAATAATTCGGTCGCGTGAGAGATACTCAATATTTTTAAACAAAGTTGATGGTTCAAAATTTATAATTTTTTAAAAGAATTAATTTGAAAAACTAACTCTGATTTAATTTGATAATACTCAAATATGATTTAATAATATCGTATGTGAGACGAATATATGTGTGTGTGTATATGCATCCTCCTTTATGTCTGATGGATTGGAGGGAAAACAGCAAAGGTATAAACGCCAGTAGACAACTTTAAAACGGGCTTTTTGTTTTTTGACCAATGAGCATATCTATTTTGTGGAAAATATGAAAACATACTCCTTACTTATTTTCTTAAAAATCTGCTAAATCCAAGACGTTGAAAATCGGATCCATTCAGCACAATGCTTTAAGATTTACAGTTAAATCGTGATTACATCGATTATAAACAAAATATTTTAATAAATGTGCTGTTTCAACTAATCAGGTTGATTCGGTTATTAATGCTATGATGGAATAATTAGCATTAGAAAGAGACAATTGAGATATTATTAATTTTTTGTTTGAATATATTTAAACCAAAAAAGTACTGGACATTTCAGTAATCTATCTGATGATCCGAATTGGGTATCCATCTGCCATGGCCGGGTTCAAAAATTTAGGTGCCAAGCTCAACTTAAGAATCATTCGAATCAGATCAAACTGTTTAAACAAAATATTAATCAAATCATGTCGATCAATATGATTTACATAAATTTGGGAAAATATTATTCAAGGATCACTGAGAGTATTTAATATCATTTAAGGATTATTGAGGGTATTTAATATTAATCAAGGATCAAAAGATTCTGAAATATTAATGCAAGATAGATTAGGAAATTAATTTGAAAATAATTTTATGAGAAAAGATTATAATACTGTTGTCTTTCTTTTTTAATTGACAAGTAACTACTTATGAATGAACAAGCACCCATTTGTATTTAACAAAAAATTATTCACTAATTGATAAATTCAAGAATTTGAAATAATTTGGTTGTTAGAAAGAATAATTATAAATCATGTTTCAATAGATAACCATTTGCTAATTAATAAGTACTCATTCATTAATTAATAAGAAGTTATCTGCTAATTGACAAATTTAATAGTGTGAAAGAACTTGGTTATGAAAAAGGAGAAGTGTAGATTATGTTTCAATGAATATCTAGTTGTTAATTAACAAATACTTATTCGCATTTAATAAGAAGTCATTTGCTAATTAATAAGTTTAAAAATTTAAAAGAACTTGATTATAAAATGAGTGTAAATCATATTTTAACAAGCCATTTATTAATTAACAAGTATTTATTTATATTTAACAAAAAACTATTCACTAGTTAACAAGTTTTTGAAAAAAGAAAAGTAAGAATATTATAGTATTTTTTCATCTAAAATTATTTTTAAATCAGTCTCCTAGTTTTGCAGGATATTTTAAAATCTTTTGATCCTTATTTGATATTAAATTGCTTTTATAGTCCTTAAATGATATTTTCCTTATAAATTTTCTATATCTTTTCATTAAGAAGGTAACCAAAAAAAATAAAAAGGCTGATCGGTCAGGTGACATATCGGGCTTAAAAGACTTGATCCATTACTGAGCCGAATTTAAAAAAAAAAAATCTGTAAAAAAAAAAAAAACCAGCTCATGGATACCCATATTACTTTTTTCGGCCAAAAAATTAATTTCATTGATATAAAAAAAATTAAGTACCAACATCGATAGTTCATGAATACCCATATTATCAAGTCCACATTTTTTAATTCCATCACATGATATCCTAGAAAATCTATAGGTGGGACTGTTATTACTAGCAACTTCTCATTAGAATAAATTAATTTAACTTTTTCAACTAGTTGAATCTAGCGCCTATCAGTCAATTCAACATTTTAATACAGTGAACATGAAAATATTATTTATTTTCCCAGCACGTAGATTTAGTGAACTCGTAATCCTTTATTTTTTTTCTCACTTGCCAACAACAGTATTCGTGAATAGTGAATGCCATAAACTGAACAGCCAAGCGAAAAAGATTCTCCATGGTTATGGCAAATAAGAACTCGTAAGATAATTTGGGCCTTCCAAAGCACGCTGGTGGATTGGGCTAGTTATTTAAATTAAAGGCCGAGTTAGATTTGTATTGTCAATTATACATAATTTATTAGAAATTCTACCAAAAAAAATTAATTAAAAATTTTTAGGGTAAACAAAACTTTTGATCCCTATACTTTACTTATATTTTATTTTTGATCTTTATACTTTTTTTTGATATTTTAAATCCCTACACTTTTATTTTTTCTTATTTTGGATCCTTATAAAATCCCTATACTTTGCTCACAGAAAAATAAAAAATAATAAAAAATAAAAGTATAAGGACCTAAAATATTAAAAAAAAATATAGGAGCCAAACGTAAAATGTGAGTAAAGTATAGGGATCAAAAATTATGTTTATCCAAATTTTTAGAAGGCCCATTTGGTCATTTAGCAATTAACATTTTCAGTTTGGCCCTTACCCATAATATGATCATCAATGAGTGAAAGTCCTACGTTTCTAATTTGAATATTCTCGTGAAGGACTAAAATCACAGACAATTTATGCTGAAGAGCTGTAAATTTCTGAAATTAATCTAAAAGATCAAAGTTCTTCTCGGCTAAAAAAAGTTGTGATACCGAATTGCCATTACTGTCAAACTTGTCATCTCTGAGTAGTAAAATTGATGTATTAAGACTTGGTAAATTTGTATTCTATAAGTACTAAATCAAAGTACTAATTACTAAATACCCATAAAGTTACTTTTCCATGACAAAAATCGTGTTTACTTTTTTTATGAAAGACAAAAATCATTTTCAATACTCAAACTTATATAATTTAATACTTAAGAAATGCGAATTTCCGAGTTTAAGCACGGTTATTTACTGTTTATTTTTGTTTAAATGTCTCCTTATAATGATTTGCCACATAAAGATTGCAAATTTGACAATCGTAGTTTAATTATTTTAAATTACTTTTGTTTATAGAGAAAGCTTTTAGTCTTTCAAAATAATTTCAAAAATTATTAAAAACAAAAAATTTTCCCAATCTTAAAAGCAAAAAATTTGTAAAGTTATATTATATGTATAAAAACCGAATGACACGGTCGGGTTTCTCCCCCGCGAGCGATACATGTTGAGATATTCTTCGTCTTCGTGTGGTGTGACTTGTGAGTGTTGTTCAGTGCGTTTTCCTTGTCAGTTACAAGCCTCTTTAACGGTTTTTCCTTAATTGCTAAGATATACTTATCGATATGCATAGGACATGAATTCGTAGTACTTTAGCTTGATCTCTTCCTTCTTCTTGCTTTCACAGTTGTGCAACTTATTTTTGTTCAGTCTTTGTTAGCTTTACCATTTTGGATGAACTATATAATTATACCTTGGTAGCTTTCTAGAACCACCGAGTTCTCTGTCTGATGCGTTGTCCCTACTTCGTTCTTCCTGTCCCATGCCCACCAGGTGTTTGATTCTTTGCCCATAACGGCTGCTGATAGTAGGCTCCATTGATGATGATGCAAATTAGGCCGTTCTTCTCCAAGTTTAACATGATTATCATATTAAACCAACAAGCAAGATCCTATGCTCGTGACCCTTTTCTTAGTAAAGTTGCTCACTACCTGTACCGTGCCAAACTAATAGACTCCATTCGACTCGTTCTCCGATCCAATTGTCCCAACTCAGTCTCCAGTCTTCTAAACGATCGTCTCCTTGACTCTTTCGTGGTCACTCAAGCGCTTCGTTCTGCCCCCTCTGCAGATTCTGCCATTTCTCTTGTGGAAGAGCTTGAAAAAGTTCAAGGTTTTTCACACACCAAGAACACCCTCCATGCCCTGGCCACCGTGCTTGCCAAGTCAAACCGAGCTACAGAACTCAAGTCCCTCATTAGCGCCATTACTGCTGGGAGATTCGGTAATGTTCATGTCAGCTTCATGAACCTCATGCAGTGGCATGCTGCAGCTGGGGATCTCGAGTCAGTTCTTGGGGTTTGGGATAAGTATAGACTCACTGCCAATAAGCGTGCCTGCACTGAATCATATAACATTGTCATGGCTCTGTACGCGAAAAAGGGTGAGGACTCTGAGGCGGTGAAGATTTTCTACAGGATGCTTGATGAAGGGGCAAATCCAAATTGCAGAACTTATACAGTTATGATCGAGCACCTTGTAAATTCCGGGAAATCATTGGCAGCAATGGAGGTTTTCAAAATACTACCTTCGATGCGGATCAAACGCACTTTGAAACAGTACTCAATTATGATTGAGAGCTTCATTTACCTCAAACGGTTTGAAGAGGTCAAAACCTTGCTCAATGAAATGCAAGTTGATGGAATATTGCCTAGTCGAGCCATGTGTTTGTCGCTGCACCAGCTTGTGCAAGAAGGATTCCTCAAGGATGACGAGCTCTTTAAAGAAAGTTTATCAGATGAAAGAATCAAGAACATAGGGTATTCTATTGACAGTAGTGATGATGATGAGGATGAAAACGAGAATTCAAGTATTGCTTGTCAATATGAGGATGGAAAACAGTTAAAACCCTGGCTGGACCCACGGGCTTTGGCAGTTGCCTTGCAGAATTGGGGTCCCAGTGAGGTATCAGCCCTTGAGGGTGCAAACTTTGTGTGGACAAGAAGGCTGGTCTGCAAGATCCTAAGGAATTTCAACTCCCCAGAAACTGCTTGGAATTTCTTTTGTTGGGTTGCTTATCAACCTGGATTTACTCATGATATGTACACAGTACAAAGAATCATGACTCTTCTTGCTCGTCATGGATGCACAGAATTGGTTGATAGGCTCATCTCCAAGATCAGAACAGAGGGAATGAGACTGCCATTCAGCACCATAAGGCTAGTAATCGACTTCTATGGAATCTCAAAGAAAGCTGATGCTGCTCTGAAGGTTTTCAATGTTGATCGAATACTTTGTGGGCCCATATCAAATTTTCATTTGATGATCCTCTATTCCTCTCTTCTAAGAGCACTAACCAAGTGTGGAAGGAATTCTGATGCCCTGGAAACACTTGAGGAGATGATTTTGAATGGAATTTTCCCAGATATTCAGACGTTTTCTGGTCTAATGCAACATTTTGCAAACCTTGGAGACATAAAAACAGTGCAGAAGCTCTTTACAATGGTTAGGCAGAGTAGCTTAGAACCAGATGCTTATCTGTATAAGGTACTAATCCAAGGTTATTGCAAGTCAGAAAGAGCAGCACTGGCATGGAGGATATTTGAAGACATGAAGAGTTCAGGTTTGATGCCTGATTCTGACACCAAAGAGTTGCTTGTGAAGAGCCTTTGGAAAGAAGGGAGAAGGAGGGAAGCTGCTGCTGTGCAAGAGGGTTGTGAGGAAATAGATGAGGTCCTTCCGCTTGCATTGCGTGGTCATGAATGGTCTGTCAGCTCTGCAGATCTCTCAAGAGTTTACAATATCTATTCAGAAAGTTTTGCATTGTTCAGCTAGAGTTATAGATATGTATAAGAGATGAATTCATGGTACTTCAGCCACATTGGCAGACATCTTTTAGAAGGTAAAAGTCATGCCCAACTTCGCAAACCGGGGAGGAAGAAGGGATGTTGTTGAAGAGAGTTGAGGGGAAATAAATGAGGTCCATCCTCTTGCATTGCACGGTCATATATGGTCTGTCTCTTGAATCAATTGTAGGAGTAACGATAAATGTGTGCATATTCACTTTTTGGCAGGATCTGAGTTGTTATCTAAATGAACACTTGATATAGGCACTATTAAGTTTGCTTAGTTAGGTTTTAGAAAAATGAAATTTGCTGAGTCTCAGAATTGAAGAATCTCTGGTCGATCCTTGGACATTTGCATTTAGAGTCGGCATCCACCTTTCAGATTGCTTTGGAAAGGAAATTGGTTCATACAAGAGAAAAGTTGCAAGATCCTTGTGTTAATAGTTAGGTAAAACAACCATGATGCCTTTTGACACTTGACAGTTAACTGTAGGACTCTTAAACTTAGGATGAAGGTTTTGTTGTATTAGTTATTTTTTTGAGTAATTTCAATTCCCAACCAATTTGCCAATGTAGTGCCAGGCCAAAAAATCAACACGGCAGTGTTGCAAATGCAGAAGCACCAAACTCAAAGTAGCCATTTATTACAATTGATGATGTTTCAAAGGAATTCGCAAAATGGCTATTTGAATAGTCATTTCATTCTGGAAATTAAAAGTCCCTTCCCATTCTTTTGTCAAATGCAATTGACCGCCTGAAAAATTTGGTGTGGTGGATAGTCAATCACTTTAAGATATCTTGAAGTCTTTGCCAGAAGAATTTGCTTGCTTCTAAGATAAAAAATTTAATCCGCTAGTCAATGGGTTCAATGTATTGGATTTTTAGAAAGCTCAACAATTTTTCCATTATATGAGATCATGCAATTATCTTTAAGCTTTTGTAAAAGCGTAATTTGATTCTTGACTATGACGTGGTTATCCCATATGTAAAAGTGTGTGATTAAAAGCAAATATTAAGTGGGCGGAATTTCCTAATTTAGCCTAGCCAAATGGTTAAATGAAAAAAAAGCTAATTTGTTGGTGCAGAATGGGAAGATAAATATTTTAATTATTTTATCATAACTGTCTGCCTAACGTGTTGGCGTTTGTATTATTTTATCAGGATTGGGATTTCTATTCTGATATTCTTGTGAGATTAGGATTTCTTATTTGTCACCTATTAAGCAGTCTTTGGTTGAATAAAATAATATAACCCTTGGTTTTTGTGATAAACTGAATTTAGAATAATTTGAAAATTTGTGTATATCTTGTTAGTCTTTCACTCTGCACCATATGTGATCCAGTGAGCATTTCCTTAGTTGAACAGAACAAGTGTGTCTTAGATGATGAATTCATTTTAATCAGCAAAATCCTATTAAATGTAGATAAACATAGAATGGGAGTGCTATTTAAGAAAGGAAAGGCAGAATTTTTATTCCGCAGCATGGCTAATCCACAATATCGGCATGACAAGGATGTAGGCAGGGTAAGCTAATAAATATATTAATACCATTGTATAAGATGTGAGGGCTATAAGCTTTGCCATGGATATGCGTGGTTTCTTTCTGCCCACACTAACTGTCTTAGAGGAACCGAAAAAGGTATTGATGGTGCACCTGATCATGTTAGTACCAGAAGTGCTTGACATGCATGAACATGCCTATTTTCAAGTATAAAGGAGGACATGATTTTAGGGAAATGAAATTGGTTTAAAGGGCCATTTTACCCTTAAACCATAGGTCTAGGAGTTTTTAGAATCTTAAACTCAATTTTGGTATAATGTTGTCTTTTAACTTTTGAAAACGGTATAATGTTATTCCTATCACTAACAAAAATTAACTTCAACCATTAGTTAAATAGAAAATTACAAAAAAAAAAGACCTAAAAAATTACATAAAAAGATGAATAAAATTGCATAAAAGGATCCACAAATTAGAAAAAAAGGACTAAGAGAATTTTCTTGATCTTTTTCCATAACTTTTTGAGATACTTTTTGCAACATTTTGAATTCCTTAATTCAGAAACTAATTGCTAATTAATACAAATTAGTGAATTAATTATGTTAATCATAATTTTGGATTATGAGTTGACATTTTGGGTTATTGAACAATTGTATGATCAGGATCGAGTGAAAGTAGAACAATCGAGGATAGAGTGGGATAGTTAGAGTGGGAAGAGACCCATTGTGCCACGTGCCGTGGCATGGCATAATGCACCGTGATGCATGGGTTAAAATTTTAACTTCTTATATTTGGATTAGCTTGTGAATCAGAAGGGAAAAAGGGGAAAGAACACAACAGGAGAGGGAGAAGAAGGGCTCTCTGCTAGGGTAAGAAGTTTTGGCTACTTAAGAGTTTGTTTTGACCTATCATCTATTGGGTAAACTTAGTATCTTCTTAGTCTTTTGTTCTACTCTATTTTTTCTTAATTTAAGATATAAAGGAATTGAATTGTGAGGTTTTGAGGGGTTTTTTTCTAGCCCAATTGCTAGAAAAGAGTTATTAAAATTTAAATTAAAGATTTGTAACTAGTTTGATAATTGATGATTGAGTTTTGAGGCTTTAGCTCAATTTTAGCCTCAATTGAGAGATTTTAAAGTGTGATAATCTTATACGGATAATAAGGATGTTATAGAAGTTGTATGAAGTTTGTGGAAGGTAGTTAGGTTTTAAAATTGCCTAATGGTAGAGATTAGAAGTTTAAGCTAGTTTAATTGTGTTACTAAGTAACTATGTTCAATTTGAAGTTGATATATAGTGCCCAATCTTTGTAGATTATTGTGACTCAAATGTTTATTGGGCGATTTGAAGTGTGAAAAGAGTCAAAGTACCATGAGTAACACTTTTTGGTAACAAAAGGTTTGAGATAACTAAATAATTTATGCTATCTATTGACTTATTTAACCATTTTCAAGTTGTTTTTAAAGTAAATATGAAATTACATGTTGTGATTTAGAAAATTATATGATTTTGAGTTTATAAAGTGGTAAAAAGGGTTTTTGGATTATGATACATCTATAAAAAATATTTTGTTTCAAAGTTATTTGGTAATAAGATATGAATATGATTAAAGGTATGAACTGCATTATATGTATACATGTGTAAGAGTCATGATAGTGAGGGTGGGAGTTCACCCTCAAGGGAGTAATATTTTAAAACCATATGGTTGGGCTAGCATTATAGGACATCTGGTGTAGTAATATATGATGGATTGTTACCATGGGGCATCCGAGATATCATGACATGATTATGAGTTCTTTAGTACCCAAAAAGGTGTAGTGTATGAGTATACGATACCCTAATTACGCTTGCAATGGGGTATTTTAAAGTCTAAAAGTGGGATAGAATACCTTTAGTCGGGTAATTCTTTCATAGAAGGTGAGTTGGGATTAGTTATACAGAATTGGTCCTATGTATGTGATATTGATTATATAACTATATATGTAGAATAATATATGGATTATCTTGGTTACTGAGACTTTCATCCTATGGTCACTATTTTACAGATTCAGACGTAGATAGGAGCAGAGGGAAAGATTTAGGCTAGAAGTAGCAGGATTACTATTATATGGCTCTTATTGTAGTTTGTGTAATGAATATGTAAATAAAAAGTTATGTTTATAAGTTTCTTAATAAGAATGCATATACATGTTTGATTACACTTGTATGATTGTTTGGTGAATGTATCTTAGCCTTGAAACATAAGAATTTATTAAATGTAATAGAAGGGCTAAGATGCTAGTATAAATGCATGTTGGATGTTTTGAATAGATGTGATATGTGGAATTTGATCGAGAAATGATATTTTGTATAAATATCAATGTAGCCCTATGGAATAAGAGTCAGGGTATCTAGGTGACTGAATTGAATTGTAAATGCATGATTGTGGATATAATTGTTCTATTAGGTGAATATTTTTTTACTGGATGTGATTGAGGTCTTGTTTGAGGCTAATGACATAAGTTTGCGGTTTGAGGCATTTAGATGTGGTAAAATGACATAAAATGGTTATTTTACATTTGGATGTCCAATTTTCAAATAAAATATCAGATTGAGATGAAACTTATGTCATTAATTAAATTATAAAATAAGCTACGTGTAAGTGCTTGGATTACTCTAATTGAACCTTGTACGTGAAAATGATGCATGTTGGAAGTTCGTTTTAGACGAGTTGTCATGTGCGTCGCAACAGTGCATGACATGGAATAAGAAGTAATCGCTCTGCAGCATATGGCACACACGCTGTGCATATATGTTTGTTTGGGCAAAAATGAACCTTTGCCCTTGATGCATAATGTAATGTGATTCTGCATTCATTTTTGCTTTAATTGTGCTTAAACACTTGTATTTTGGAGTTTAAACATATTTTTTTAAAGGTTTTGGGATCCCAACCATTTCAAGGATTTATTTTCTATATTTTAACCATTATTGATTAAAGTAACTTAAGAGCTTGATAACTCTTAATTATCTTAATGTGCTAGATTGTGGTGATTAATTGATAATGTTAAGGAGGACACTATACTTTTTTATAATTTTTTTAGTCAACTAACAATTAAAGTTGATGTTTGTTAACAGTATATATGATATTATACTGTTTTGAATAGTTAAAGAAAAACATTATATTAAAAATAAATTTAGAGTTTCAGACGCTTCTGAACTTATAATTTGGAAGCCAATGTACTATTTAACCCTATGAAATTTGCATAACCCCAAAAATATGTGGACATTCTTTACACTTAGGAGGACATCAATTCGTTGTCATCCCCACTTCTTTCCATTCATGTTATTGATTACTGTCTTGGCTTTTGTGGTATTTCTATTGCAATCTTCTTCGACATATTAACTTTAATTTTGACGGACACAAAGCATGAAAGTGCTATTTAGAAAGAGAGAGGGAAGGACGAGGGATACAATACGAATTGATATCTCATATAGTGGTAGTTTGTATTTGAGTAATGATCTTCTAGGTTAGAAGGAATTATTATAATTATCAGTTGAATAATTGAGTGAGGTGTCACGTTGAAAGGAAGATAAATAATTGACGGAAGAATGTGATTGTCATCTAATCAAATTGGAATTGTTCAATCTCTCAACTGAGGTATATATTTTAAAAGTATATGGTTTACATTTTTTTTAACTTTTTTGCGTACTAAAAATAAAACATAATAGAAAGACATATTTTAAAATCATAATATAACAGGCTATTTTTTTGGCCAAAAAAATTATTTGTTTTAAAAAATAAAATTAAAATGATTAGATCAAATTGAAACAATTCAAATATTCAAATTGAGTAGTTAACCGAATTGCACAATGAAAAAAGAAGTGAAAATTGATCACTGATGAAAAGGAGGAATAAAATAAAAAAAATAATTTGGTTAATAAAAAATATTTTAAAATAACAACATAAAAAAATTAAGTAATAATTATTGTACATATATAATATATTGAAACAATGAAGTTGCCCAAGAGATTCCTGATGAAGGAACAGCGTGAAGGAGTGGCATGGTATGAATCCAACACTCGTGGCCGTTGGAGAAAACATAAGTGGAACTTGAAGTGAGACAAAGCAACAAAAGTCTGTTCTCTAAAGTAGATCTCATAAAGGTAAAGCTACTTGACAATGACACATGTGATTTGTTCAATATGAGCATCCATCTTGGAGTTTCTTGATTCCCACATGCGTAGCTGCAGATATGACAGGGGCTGGTTGATGCCTCTGATACATAAAATCAAAGTCCACCCAATTCTATGTATAAACAAGTCTTGCTGTCATGTCACAGCATATCATTCCCCACATCAAGAATCGACTCTGCCTCCTTTTGTCGTTTATAAATTCTGAAGAGACGTCAAATTTGTTTGGTCTTTAGGCGTGGGCTAGCTGTCTTCCTGACATAAGCATGATTCAATTTAGGTAGACATTAGACTTCTTTCTTGCAAAGGAAAGATTCCCATTGCAAAGGTTTAAAAATGGACCACTGTGCTTTTTTATAAACAAAATTCTATTTTATTAGTGACAAAAGCTTCATGTCAACAATGCCAATTGTGATTCATCAGCTTTCTTTATTTCTTTTTCTTGTCATATTCCTTCTGCTACACATTCATCAATTCGCTGCTACATCTGGCATTATTTCGTGCTGAAGCCTCCATTTCCAACCTAAGCCTCTTAACAATGGCCGTCTTCTCTCTTCCCTTTCATGCTATATTTCTGGCACTCATTTTCTTCTTCACCTCCCTTGTTGCAGCTCAATCGCCAGCCAACAGTGGAACGAACTTTTCATGCCATGCTGATTCACCACCTTCCTGTGAAACGTATGTATCATACTATGCTCAATCTCCAAACTATTTGAGTCTAGTGAACGTATCTGATTTATTTGGGATCAGTCCATTATCCATTGCAAGAGCTAGTAACTTAACGAGTGAAGATAATAGGCTGAGTCCAGGCCAACCCTTGCTGGTGCCTGTAACTTGTGGCTGCACCAGAAATCGCTCTTTCGCCAGTATAACTTACGAGATGAAGTCAGGTGATACCTACTATTCTGTTTCAACCATTGGCTTTGAGAATCTCACGAATTGGCATGTAGTGCAAGAGCTTAACCCTGATCTGGATCCGTATCTTTTGCTTGGAGGGGTCAAAGTAGTCTTCCCTTTGTTCTGCAGGTGTGCTTCAAAAAGCCAATTAGCCAAAGGCATAAAGTTTTTGATTACTTACGTTTGGCAACATAGTGACAATGTTTCTGCTGTTAGCACCATGTTTAACGCATCTGAAATGGACATAATGACAGAGAACAAGTACCAGAACTTCAACTCTGCAGCCAACCTTCCAGTTTTGATCCCAGTGTCACAGCTTCCAGATGTTTCCAAATTTTCTTCATCACCTGAGAGAAGGGTAAAGAATCATCGTCTTTTGGTTATCATAGGCATTACACTGGGATGCACTCTTCTGATTGCCGTTATAACTATGTTGCTGGTCTGTGTTTATTGTCCGAGAAAGAAAAAGATTAATTTGAAAAAGAGTGCTTCGTTTTTGGAGACAGCAGATAGGCTACTTTCTGGTGTCTCTGGTTATGTTAGTAAGCCAACCGTGTATGAGTTTAGTGTAGTCATGGAAGCTACCATGAATCTTGATCAACAGTGTAGGATTGAGGGATCAGTCTACAAGGCCAAAATTGACGGGCAGGTCTTAGCAATAAAAAAAGTGAAGGAAGATGTCATGGAGGAGCTAAAGATCCTGCAGAAGGTAAATCATGCGAATCTGGTGAAATTAATGGGTGTCTCATCAGACACCAAAGATGGAAACTGTTTCTTGGTTTATGAATATGCTGAAAATGGATCTCTAGATAATTGGCTGTACCGTAAGTCTTCGGATGCTTCTGGTTCTGTGTCATTCCTCACATGGAGCCAGAGGATACGCATTGCACTGGACGTGGCCATGGGATTGCAATACCTGCACGAACACACACAACCAAGAATAGTCCACAAGGACATCAGAACAAGTAACGTACTTCTGGACTCGAGTTTCAAGGCGAAGATAGCCAACTTCTCGATGGCAAGAACTTCGACGAACCCAGTGATGTTAAAAACAGATGTTTTTGCTTTTGGGGTTGTGTTGCTGGAATTGCTCACAGGGAAGAAAGGCATGACGAGCAATGAAAAAGGCGAGGTAGTGATGTTGTGGAAGCGTATCAGAGTGATCTTTGATGGAGAGGAAGAGAAGAACAAAGAGGAGAGCCTGAGAAGATGGATGGATCCTAGACTGGGGAGCTTCTATGCCATTGATGAAGCTCTGAGCTTGGCCTCCTTGGCCGTGACTTGCACAGCAGATAAGCCTCTGTCCCGACCAACCATGGCAGAAGTTGTTCTCAGCCTCTCGTTTCTGAGCCAATCATCTATTGGTGGGTTAGAAGCACAAGTTCATCAAATGGCAGGTCCAGTCGCAGTTCGTTGATTAGAGTTTTTCAAGTTCAACCTGGTCTTTCTGTTTACTGGGTCTCTAGTTAATAAATACCAATCTCTATGAAGCTTGATTTTATTGAAGGTACTATTTAAGGTTTCATCATTATGTCTCTGAAGAAAACGCCAGAGTCTAACGCTTCTTCCTGTATCAGAGCTTGAAATTTATTCGACGCCAGCTGTAAATGCCCCAAAAATAAAATGCCAAGGTGGTCGTCTTCTTCCAATCATTATCATTAACGACAAACAACAACCCCATTTCACAAGTCCCTCTGAGATGTACTCTTAACATTTATGCTTCTATATACAAACCACATTCGTAAAAAGATTTAATCAACCATGTTATAAGTGACTTTACATAAAAATATGGATCATCATTTTTTTTTAATTTTATCTTTTCACAAGTTTCTATAAATAAAGTAGAATGTTATGTATGAAAAAGAAAATGTTTTTAAAAATGATGTTTTATTAAGGGTAAATTGATTTTTTTTTTTTGAAAGACAAGGTCAATATTTTAACTATCTCTCATAAATTTTGGTAAGAAAGTTAGGAGTATATATATATATATATATATATGTAAGATGAGAGGGAGTATGTTTAGTATTTCTCCTAGAAATGATTCAGTATTCTAATATATAAAATAATTTGATAAAAAATATGATTTTATTAATTATACTTGTTTTAATATTATCCTTTTTTATTATATTTTCTCTCTCTTTAATATTTCACAATTAAGGTTATTTAAAATGAAGGATATTTTTAAAATATTTATGTTTTAAAAAATAAAATTGCAAAGTATATATAATGAATTTTATTAACATGGGTAATTTTAACTATTTTTTTTATAAATGGGAGCATAGGAGTATATGGTGATACTTATTTTGCTTTGGCAATAAATGTGATAATGAATATTCCTGTGGGAATGTGTTTTGTACTTAAGAAACACGGGGGAGGACCCGTGTATTTAAAAAACATTATATAATTCCTAATTTTTTTTTATCAGCATACTTTCCGATTTTTTGTTTTAACCACATGTTGACGGACGCTATGAATTGTATAAACCATTAAGTATAAATTAGAATTGCCCCTAAAAAAAAGGATAATTTTAATTAAGGATCAAAAGACTTAATTTTATATGAATTCAAAAATATTTTAAAATTTTAATTCAGTTTAGAAAAAAAAAGTCAAAAGAATTTCAACAGTGAAAACATCAAAAGGTCATTTATTTATTATACAGAATTATTAATTGCTAATTTTTTAACTACACTTATTAATTTATCAATATCATTTGTAAATTATATCTGTTTGTCAAACAATCAATAAAATTAGTTATTAATTTGCTAACTTTATTTGATAATTTACTAATATTAATTGTAAATTACAAGACCTATCAGTAATTTATAATTGATGTTAGTAAATTATAAAACTTATCAGTAATTTATAATTGATATTAGTAAACTAAAAAATAAAGTTAATAATTTAACAATTGATGTCCCTGCTTACGATTGAAAAATTAATATCAAGTCTTATATAATTATTAATATGTTAACTTATATAATTTATAACTCATATTCATAAATTAATAAGTATAGTAAAAAAAATAATAACTATTAATGCATTTCTTAAGATTCCGTGCTTCATATTTAGGTTTGAAATAATTTATTATATATATATATATATATATAATAGAACATTCAGCTTTGAAGTCAAGTTTAGAATGATTTATCATTTTTAATATGTATTAAAAATTAAATTTTATCTATTTAAAATTCAAATATAATGATATTCAGTAAATAAAGGGCTAATTTCTTATAATATTTAATTGTATAGAGAGGTAAAATAGGGAAAAAATTAAATTCTCTAGATATTATTAAATTGGATTTATATTTTAGATCAAATAAATTTAAAAAAAAAAGACTTATATAACCGACCAGAGGAGCAGTATACTTGTACATGTTTTACTCTTCTATAACCCAACTGAAGTGAGGGGAATCATTAGCCCAAAAACTTTCTTTTCTTTGTCGTAGAAGGACTCAAATAGAATTAAAATGCAGGTAAATAGAAGAAAAATGGATAGGAGTAACATTAGAGAAACTCAAAGGAACATTAAATGGAGAATCCTATGAAAGAGAAGGGCACAAAAAAAAATGTAAAATAAAATATTGTATATAAAATCTTGAGCACCGTAGATAGGAAATGGAGAGGTGTAAGTTTAAATTTAATACTCTTTTATAGTGATTAAAAAAATCAAACTCAACCGGACAATCAGACGAGTTTGACCATCAATCGATCATGATTTTGACTTAGTTAGCATGTAAAAATTATTTTAAGGGTTGAGTTGGGTTGGATCGATGGTTGGATGAGAAATCAAAATTAAGCTGAGAATCAGATCTGATTTTCAAAAATGAATTGTTCAAAAAAAAATTTCATTTTTTATTAACTCTTTTAGGAAAGGACCAATTTTTTTAATCATGTTATATTGTATTATGTGGCTTGTTAAGTTATGATAAACTTAAAATATTTGGTTTCATCTTGAAGTTGAATAGTAATTTCATATTTATTTCTTATATTTAAATTATTATATAAATATATAAATTTTTTAATTTAATTATTATGTCACTAGTTTAATAATTAATTCAACCTGATTGAACCATGCGAACCGTAAATCGATGACCTTCTGATTCAGTATCTGGTCTAGTACTAAAAACATTGCTATTTTATTTATTTATTTTACATTTTGAAAATAAAAAATTATATAAATTAAAAAATTTTAATAAATTTATTTACCAGTTTGAACAGTCCAAATTTAATATGAATGGTCTATATTTAATATTAAAAATTTATAAAAATTATAAAAAAATTAATATTAAACCTATATTACCTAAAATATATTTAAATGGTCAATTTATAAAATTTTAATATTAAATGTGAACCATTCATATTAAATATAAACTATCTAGACTAATTAATAAATTTGTTTAAAATTTTTAAAATTATATAATTTTTTATTTTAAAAAATATAAAATAAAAAAATATTAAATATAAATCGTCTAAATTAAACATGAACAACGATCTGTACCTCCTCAGCGGAGGTGCAGAGGCTCCCCAGGAATTCAATTCCCTAAATCTCGGAGCTTAATCACGATAATACATCATAAACCAACTATACTTCCCCTGCTACGTGCCAGTTTGGATATATAATGAGAATTGATTATTTGTACGGTAACCATGTTTTGATAAAAGTTATCCAAACCTTATCATTTTTACATAATTAATTATCTTGTCTAAAACTGTGTTTTGCCTTAAGTTGATATTCACAGCTTTCCAATATCAATTATGCGTGTTGAAGCATTTATTGCTTGTCAGAATTTATGAATTACCAAATATACCCCTGACATTTGGCTCCTTATTCATGGCATTACGTGGACCGAGGTGTCTTCTTCGCTTCCAAATATATCTCTGGTCGAACATTTAACGTGGCATTCATTTTGTAAAGAGGTACAAACATTTATTATATACTCCCTCTCTGTTAAAATTATAAAATATTTTTAATTAAATTTTATTTTTTAATTAAATAATTATTTATTTTTTAATTAATTATATTTTTATATTTACTTCTATTAAATACTTTATAATAAGTATACTTTAAAAAAAAATAATAATTATATCTCGAAAGACTAAAAATATCTTATATTTTTGAACATTCAACTTTTCAAAAAATATTTATATTTTTTAATAGAGGGAATATGTGTATTACATATTACATAATTTTTATAAATATTAAATATATCACTATTATATTTTTGTCAAATAAATCAAGATAAATTTAATAATATGGGAAAATTAATCTTTTGATTTGTATAATTTTAACATAGTTATATGCATCAATCTCTAAATTTTAATTTATTGTAACTCAATGTTTATAGTTTTGAAACAATCCTTAAATTAAAAAATATTAATTATTTTAAAGTGTTAATCAATTAATAATTTAAATATTAGTCTTTAAATTTTAAAATAATTTTAATCTTTCTAAATTTATTTTTTAAATACAAAGACCAATATTTTAAATAAAGTTGTACAAATTTAATAATATTATACTCTTCCGTTAAAAAATATAAGGTATTTTTTGAGAAGTTAAATGTTAAAAAATATAAGGTATTTTTAGTCTTTTGAGATATAATTACTGCTTTTTTTTCAAAAGTGCCCCTATTGATAATGACTTTATATTTATTGTAGGATATTTAATAGAGATAAATATGAAAAGATAAGGTTAATTTGAAAGTAGGTAACTACTTTATTGAGAGGTGAGATTTGGTTAAAAATGCCTTACATTTTTGAACGAAAGAAGTACAACTTTATCAATATTTTAATTTTCAAAAATAATATCTTTTATGATAATTTATACATTTAAAATTAATTATGACTAAATCATCTAAATATCTTCAATTCTGTTAAATTGATTTTATAAAAATAATATCCAAACGTGATCACATTATAACATAATAAGTTATAACTAAAATCAATCATATTAACCAATTTTTTTTATAATCAATTATACCTAATTTAAATTTAAATGGGCCTGACATAGATGAATGATATTTTATTGCATTCAAAGTAGAAGAAAATTGATTTAAACATTTAAAATATTATTTTCTTGGAAGACTATGTTGATTATTTTAAGAAAAATCACACCAAGGATCTGTGAAAAAAGTTATTTAGAAACAAAAATCAATAACAAGTCACTATTTAAGGAAAAAAATATTTCCCATTTTAACTATAATCCAATTCATATATTGGTCTTTGTTTGCGAATAATATTTTTCACAAGTTTTTAATGTGATTTTCCCTTGGTTTTACCATGGTATTATTTTTTAAAAAAAATAAAAAAAAGAGAACTTGTTTTCACTAATGGAAAAGGAACAAGTTATAAGGAAAAGCACACAGTAAAAACCTAACTTTCACCATGCCCCATGTTTTAAGATAGTTAGTTCATGCCAATCACCCTTTAATCTAGTGGCACGATCACCAATCCTTATGCTCTTATGTTTTGACGCAGGGGGTTAAATGATCAAACTCCAATGTAGTTGAAGAGGCAAAAAAATAAAAAAATAAAAAATCTAGTGTGTGTAATTGTTGTGTGGTGTGTGTGATGTGAGTGTGAGTGAAATGCATATATGTTAGATTACATTATTGTGGGAACTAG